CTTCGCTTCTTCTGTGGCTGTTCTCCTCTCTGCAAAATGGGGGACGATTCTTCCTCCCTTCCCCTGTGTGGAAAGGAACGATACTTTGAGATGTAAATACGGATACGGTGTTTCATTAATACTGTCTCTGAATCTCTCACAGTTGCAGATACTCTGAACAGAAAAGTGATTACCTCCTTGGTTTAACTACTGACTCGTGCTGCTACCCCTTTTTCTGCAAAAAATAGTTGTACCGGACTGCGGAATCTGTCTCTTGGAGAGCAGTATTTATTCATATGACACAGCACTTAACTCTCTTATGATAATCCCACTGAAGCCAGTTGGCTAACTTGAGTTATATGCCCGTATTTGCACAACAAGGGGTTTTGCCAATGCTTATATCAAAGATACAGTATGGCATTGCTTGCAAATAACAACTCCCACTGCTGCAGGCAAGTTAACTGATTAGGAAATGCAAATTTGTTGAGTGAAAGTTCCAGGAGGGAAAGGAATGATCTAAGAAGCACCAGAAAGCTCAGGGATGTGGGCGAAGGATACGTGCTAGAGTATGTTGACTTCTATCAGCTGGATACCACAGAACAGAACGCTCCTCTCTCAGAAGTGGGCACACCACATGCCTGAGTTTCACTCCTGCACTCAGGATCCTTCATTCAGGTTTAGACAGTGAGATTCTGCCTCCACCCAAGTCAGTTTTCTCATCTAGGGATCTTAAGAGAGCAAAAAACCCTACCAGCATTTCTGATCGATAACAAACACAAATAAGAAAAGCAAGTTTTAGTATAATCCTCTATAGTAATTGATATTCTGCGTAAGAGGGGACAAAGCTCAATATCAACCTTAGTCTGCGCTGTGGTTTAGTCAAATACATAGATGTGGGAAATGAGCTAAGTTTTCCTTCAGCTAATTGATATATTCTTGTTAGTGTGTCAGTACTAACAAAGGAGTCTTACTGATAGTAGAGTCTAATAAATTGTATCCAATGAATCCCCAGAAATGCCCTTGGTCTGTCAAGGGATCCTTGTTGGCAGAGCGTTATCTAAGGGAAGAGAAACAGACTGGAACACGGCCTTTGACAGGAACCCAGAGGGTAGGGGAGTATCAATAAGGCCAAAGAAACCAGCCTTGGACGGTAAATCTGCCAAGTAGATGGTAGCAAAGACTCTGAAATAACGTGTAGCGTAATCAACTAATCAAAGGCATGTTTAGGATAATGATTTCGTAGAATAGGTGTGTGTGTGCCTTCTATGGGAAAAAGTGCAAAATAAACCTGTAATAGGTCAAGCGGTCGGGAAGAATGTGAGCTCCAACTTCTCAGCCAATGAGAAGAGAGACAGAAATTCAAGCGGCCGGGATAAAGGTATAAAATACCTGAAAGCTAAAAGATCATTGTGCATCTATTTTTGGTGCACCCAATTCAGCACTGTTTCGTATTAATAATTTTTTTTAACCTTTGCTTCGGTGACTTTGTCCTCTTTAAATTCTAAGATGTGAGTCGGTGTTTCTCACATAGAGAATGATGATTCCTCTCTCACTTTGACCTTAAAAAGTAAGGTAAGGAGAGGTCAAAGGGAGCAGTACTTCCTGCTCCCATCAACATCCTGCAGCTTTTTCAGTTGTCTTACTCTATGTATTTAATGTTATTTAAATTACCCATGATTATCAGCTGACCCTGTCATAACATCATATACACATTCTGTCATGACACATCTCAGCAACTGTGCAATACACACAGACATCAGCCTGCTCTGATGAAATAGAGGTCCCCAGAAGAAGCAGGTAACATAATTTTGCTTCCCTGAATTTATCTGAGAGATCAAATTGGCTGAATTTTGTGGTATTCAAGCTTTAAAAAGTACATAGATGGGATGTAACAGCTGTCCCTTGATTTCTAAGCTTTCATTCCTTCCCATACTTTGCAATCCTCTCAATTTATCTACCGTACCTGGAAGTAACTTGGCTTTTACCCATCACAGCTCAAACTTAGTTCTGTAATATTTTGCTCTGACATCACTCAGTTTTTGGTAAATGCCTTTACCTCCTGCCTCTTTTGCTCCAGCACCGCCTTCTCTCAACATCTCTTTCCCTTTCTTCTTCTCACATACTTTTGCTCCTTTCTTTACTCTGGTTATCAAGGAATTCTGTTATTCTTTGTCTCTGTAAACCTACAGCCTAATTCCCCTCTCAGATTGCTTCTGCCAGTGTAGCTCCATGTGACACAAAGAGTTTTGACTTTACCCAAATGCAGGAGAATGAAGTCTCCAGTTTACAAAGCCTCCAAGTAGGCTTAGTTATGCCACAGGACATTCCTTTTCTCTCAGGAAGGTCTCAAAATAATATTTATGAAAACATAACATGGTTTAGGATTCTGGGCTCATTATGCATATTTTTATACTAAGATTCAAACGCAAATATTCAAGAAGAAAAACCTGCCTAGTACCTTTCTCAGGATGAAGGCAAACATACTAAAAAAAGAGGTGACAGTTTTGGCTACCAAACCCATCATTCTTTAAAATTCTCGAAAAAGAACAATTCTTCAGCTGATTTTTACAGTAAGTGTAAACATCTTTCCCTCTGTGGTCTTTCAGCTTTGCCTAGTACCTTAGGCTTTCTGCACCTCTGTGCCTTATTTCAGTATTACATGCTACAGGCTGAGGCACATTGGGACCCAGTGCTTTGCTTTCTTCCTTCTCCAGATGTCTGTCTTCTGCACCCTAGAAGAAGAGCATATTCTATTTGCATAGTTCTCTCTTCTCGCTCGCAGTGCAAGCCTTCATACTTAGCATACAGATTTGTTTCCTAAACCCGATTAAGCAGGGAATATTTTTACTAATCCAATTCAGCAAATTGTAATTTTATCAAAACTGCCCTTTAGAAAGATCTTTTGGAAACTGCTCTGTAAGATATTTGGAATATATGCAAAGATAGAAGGATTTCTTTTCCAAACAGAAAGACTTCATCTCTCGTTAAAAACCCACAAAACAAACACAGGACAATAGTTAACATTGCTAACTCTAACCTAATGTCTGTTTTGTGCACCATAGATAAAAATTCAGCATCTTACAAGAAATGACCTTTTATGTTATATCTGTTTTCAGGAGCATGCATTTCCCTTACAGCTCCTGTCAGGATTTAACATACCTGTCTAATGGGAAAAGGGGACATTCCAAAATCAGCAGTGTGCAGCTGTCACATTGACAAGCACACATGCACACTTTTCTTCTGCTTCTGGGTCTCCATTTTTGTTACTTTTGTATCAAAAATACAAAATATTTGTATCAAAAATACAAAATGCAAAATATTTAATTAACATCATTTAGATTTGCACAAATCCAGTACACCACAGTTCACAAAAGCATGCCATTTCTTTGCTGGCTGGATTTTTACAGCATACACTGCCATGGTAGCTAAGGGATGCATGACAGAAGTACATCATCCTAAGGTCTCAGTCTCCACTGCCTGTGCTTTATTTTTCTTAGTATGAAATAAAATAGCACAAAATTCAATAAACTGGTGCAAATTTTATTATTTTGGCATGGGTTTCACTTTGATCAAGATAATAAAGTACCAGCATGCCAATTAATGAAGACAAACCAGTGTCAAATCACAATGCATCCAGTTTGAGCAAACAGCAGCATGAAGAATGCGGAGGTTGTAAGAATTAAAATGTAATTGAAGAGGCATTGGCTCATGCCTTAGTCATGGACTGAAAATGTCATTAAACAAATCATCAAACCCTCTATAAATAACTCCATCGTTATTTTTCAGGGTCATTGTCCGGTCTCTGAATTTCAGCCCTGCTCAGTTGTTTGTTTTTCTTCCTTAACAGAATAAAGACAGAAATATTTACTCGATTATTTGAATTTTATTTTATAGATCATAATATATAGAAGGAGTACTGTTTCCAGCATATACAGCTTAGGGAATAGCAACAAAGCTAAGGTGATGAAAAATGAACTGATTTTGAAACCACAAAAAAATAAGCAAAAAAAAAAAGCACAAGCTCAAGTTCTAATATGAAATAAAATTCAGGTACAAAGGGGGGTAACCACTGATTTTATGCTTATACAATCAAACATAGACTTTAGTGCAGGGTATTTGATTCTGCCATCAAAATATTACTTCATTACTTATTTTATAGCCCTAAAATAAATTACTTTGGGATGTAGCCTCACTTTGAAATCCATGGTATACATAGCTCATTAATACCGACTTCTGCCTACTCATCACAGCAACATCTGTCAGCCCGATGTATGCTGCAAGATGATCTATGTCCTTAACTGCCAAAAAAGAAGCACAGAGATAACAAACCACACCAGCAGCATCACCTGGCTTTCCATACAGCTACCTGGTAGGCTCAGGCAAATGTATACAAGCTGCAGGGCAAATTCCTCTGCCTGGACTGAATGGCCACCAAGGGGCCAGACCTTGCAGTGGTCCTGCCGAGTGACAGGGACTTTGTCACCCAGCCACAACCTGGGCACGCTGCTGTCAAGGAGCCTTCGTAGCAAGTTCAGCCTGGTGCCTGTATTTCAAGAAGAGATAACTTTGAGATAGCCCCTTCGTGGAGGGCTGCCTGCAAGGCCGATGCTGGCAGCTGCAAGGAACTGCTCAGGGCCCAATCTGAAAGCAAGTTGGAGCTGTCGCCACTGCTGGCCCCTGCTATAGAAGCTGTTGGCAGTGGACATCCGCCGGCGGGCTAAACGGAGGCCCCGCCGGCAAGGCAGGACAAGGCCGCGCCAGGCCAGGGGCTCCGCTGCTCGCTGCCGAGGCCTGAGGCCTGGCCTCACCCGGGCGCAGCTCGGCAGCGCGCCCGCCTGGGCCCTGGGGCCGCCGGTGGCGGGGTCGGCGCGGCTGAGGACACCCCGGGGGCAGGGGACACCCGCCACAGTGCCGGTGCAGCCGGCGAGGGATCGCCCCGGCAGCAGGGCTGGGCTGGGTTGGCCCCGCTGGGCACCCAGCCTTCCCCGCCCCGCCGCCGGGCACCGGACTGCGCCACAGCGCATGCGCGGCGGCGGGAGGGGCCGGAGCGGCTGCGCGGGAGCCCCGCGGCGCTGGGGCCGCTACGGTGCCCGGTCGCCCGACCATGTCCGAGGCGTATTTCCCTGTGGACCCCGGGCTGGGCATGGAGGAGAACTTTCTGTCGCTGGACGACATCCTGATGTCGCAGGAAAAGCTGCCGGGCCGCGCCGAGAGCGCCCTGCCGCGCCTGGCCTTCGCGCTAGGCCAGGGGGCCGGCACCGGGGACTCCATCCCGGAGGTAAAGGGCGGGGGGGGGGGATGAAAACTACAACTCCCAGCAGCCACCGCGCGGGGTTGTAGCCGTACGTCCCGTCCCGGGGGAGCCGGGGTCTGCTGCCGGCGGCAGCCTGGGCCTGGGGTCACGGTACCCAAACTCATGCTTCTGGCTGCTTTTTTAGAAGTTATTTTTACTTATATTGCGTGCATTTTGCATGGCTTTTTTTTTTTTTTTCCTTTCTTCTGGTAATCTGACAATTATTAGATCATATAGTCAGATCATAAACAGTTTCAGAGCTTGCAGTCGTAATGAATGCCTTTAAAGTGTGTCCGGTTGATATTACAACTACAGTAGACTGTTCTGAAAAGAAAATTGAATTTTTGTGGTACTGGATCTTCATTAATAAAGTTCACTGGTTTGGGGGTTGCTTTATGCCTGTTTTCATGGCGAGGACAAATTCTGTTTTTTCTCATTCGTGCAGGGATCAAAGCTGGAAATACCTCTGTGGCTTGCTAAAGGTCTGCATGACAGCAAAAGAAGAATAATTTCTGTGGATCTGCCAAAGATTTACAAGGAAGCCTGGAGGACAGTGTTCAGCGCCGACGCCAATGTGGTTGATCTACATAAAATGGGGCCATACTACTATGGATTTGGCTCCCAGCTCCTGAATTTTGACAATCCAGAGAATCCCGAGATAGCTCAGACTATCCTGCAGGCAAGTATCAGAACTAAACCTTGAGATTTGGTTTTACATTTTTCCATCTTCCTTCTGTTTCCAGCTGCTCAGCAGTCTTTGGGGAAAAGAACCTGTTTTAATCCAAATGACTTCTGTATTGATTATGGATTTCTAGATCAGGCTGTAGGATCTTTTTGGCGACTGTACAGCCTAGGGGTGGAAGCCTCTAGTATGCATCCAGGAGTGTAATTTTAGCCTGGAGTTTCCACACTGTAAATATTTCTAAATTTTGTAAGATTCTGTAAAGCAGGACTAGATTATTTAATCATGCCTGTGCTTCAAGGCATAATTAATTCACCCTCTGTTACTTCCCATTTTCTACCCCGTATTTAGAGCTCTGTAACAATGAGACTTCACACTGCTCTGGGCAATCTGTTTCAGTGGTTCACTATCCTGATCTTAGGAGGTTTCCTCTAATGACTAAACTAAAGCTCCTTCACAGGAATACAAGGTCTGTTCTGTTTGCCTCATAGAAAGTAAACGCTGAGGATAGATTATTCTCTTCCTTCCTGCAGCAGTCCCAGTTTGTTTGATATCTCTGTGTGGGTCATGCTTTCTAACCTCTGATTGTCCTTATGGTGCACTGCTGCTCTCTTTCCAGTTGATCTGCATCCACTGTGACATACAGTGCCCTGAACAGCATGCAGCTTCCTGCTCGGGGCTTGAGCTGATGAAAACAAAAAGATTATTTTGTGAATTTTGTAGGCCATGATGCTCTTTGCTCAGTGTGGTGCAGCATCTTGTTTTGCAGTCCACAAGATGGTGCAGTCGACAGATTGCATATGCAGACAATTGTTCCTCTTCCTGCGTTTGTACTGTTCCCTATTTCTGCCTTAATGTAAAAACTTACATTAGTCCCAGCTGAATTTTCATCCTGTTGTTTTCACATCAACTTTATAATTTGTCAGGATCGTTATGAATTAGGAGTTCTGCTCCCCAATGTACTTGCAGTCATTCCTCCTCCTTCTCTTGCATGTTGTTTGCTAATTTAATAAGCATAATTTCTTTTCCTTTAGTAAGCTTATTAATTAATATATCAAACAGTAATGGGTTGCAGATAGACCCCTGACAGGAGGGGTAAAGACAGGTAGTTGTCTTCACCAACCACCTATGGGTGGTTTAGCTAAATCTTGCAGGAATGCCCTGTGACAGATACCAATCTGCTGCTTTTTCTCCCATTGTAAGGCCTAGCATCCTGTCTCAGTACGAAACTAGGCTCGTCTCTCAAGGTTTGTTCCCATGTTGGCTCTTACTCTTCTCTATTTTCTTGCAGAAGTTTGTGTATAGTTTATTTGTTCCAGTATGTTTCCTGGAATTGATACTGATAATTCCCTGGCTCTTCCTTCTTCCCTCTCTATCTCCCCTTTCTCTTTTAAAAGATAGATACTATCTATGCCAGTTTTTGGACTTGGGTGCTCCTTGAGCTATTAAAGATAACCACTAACATTGCTGAGATTTCTTCAGCCAGTTGTCTAAATAGTCTGAGATGATTGCTCTTGGCTTTTGTGGGTTTTTGCTCCTTCTTTCCTTCTTTCCTTCTTTCCTTCTTTCCTTCTTTCCTTCTTTCCTTCTTTCCTTCTTTCCTTCTTTCCTTCTTTCCTTCTTTCCTTCTTTCCTTCTTTCCTTCTTTCCAGGCTAATACAGAGAGGCTTTAAACATTGCTGCTTTCCTGAAGTTGTCCACTAAATGCTTGCTTTCTTCATTGAGGAGGTGACCACACCTTTCCTTGTCCTTTCTCTTTCTGCTAATGGACATCTTAGGAAAAAAAGCCACATTAATACACATCACTTGTTGACAGAAAAGTCGAAGCACACAAGGTATGCTTTCTCTTTATGAAAAGCAAACAAGAGGTGAGTTTTGCTGACTTAAACGAAACACCAAAAAAAAGGTCTCCCAAATATTCAGGAACTATAAATGTGAAGTATAACTATTTGGTGACAAAGCCAAAATTATTAATCTATAATATATTTATTCTATAAGTAAATCTCTAAAATACTACAGTTCTGATGATTCTAAAATCAGCTAATCAGCTACTGAAACAACAAAGCACAGTTTTCAAAGAGTTTTGACATTTTTTTTAATTACCAAAAGCAAAGAGGAGGGAGGTAAAAATCCTTAAATATGTCTTGTTGCTTAGCTTTTTAAAATGCTATTTATTAGTTGTAGATTTGGTTTTTTGACGTTTTTCATGGTGAAGTGTTTGTCAGCATACTGAATGCTTTACATTGGCCGTTTGGCTTAACCTCCAGGCTGTTCACAAGTTGCAGCTTGCATGTTCCTGCAGCAGCTCCTGTGGCATGAGATTCATTCCACCCACTCTAAGGCAACAATTGCTCGTGAAGTGAGATGGAATAGTTTGTAATTGTGTTATACCCTGTGGTCTGCTCAAGCTTGTCACTAGGAAGTGGGCAAAATGGAACTCTGTGCTTGCTTCCCATCCAGCATATCAGGCACTTGCTCCCCCAGCTCAGGCAGGAAACGGTTTGTCTTTGTGTCCAAGGTCAAGGGATGCCTTGCTGTTTGCAGACCTGTGACTAGTTGTGAACTAGAGCCTACATATTAGGCTTTTCAGTCTTGGAAAGCTCAGACCTCTAGCATTTGAGCTGAAGAAGCCCCTGTGTTACCTGTCAGTAATTCTGCTTATCTTCTTTAGACATTTATTAGCCGTTTTCGTCGTATCATGGACTCCTCTCAGAATGCTTATAATGAAGACACATCAGCACTGGTGGCTCGGCTGGATGAATTGGAACGAGCCTTATTTCGAGCTGGCCAGAAAGGGCTGAACGATTTCCAGTGCTGGGAAAAGGGACAGGCTTCACAAATCACAGCGTCAAGTCTGGTCCAGAACTATGGGAAAAGGAAGTTCACAGATATGGATGGTTAAAAAGCCTGAAGAACATGCAGCTGCAGCGGGGGACACCGAGAGATTTACAGTCTGTCTGTCACAGAAGAGGAAGATGAATCAGCTTAGGGGAAAGACATTCATGACATCCCCGTTCATTAATGGGAATTCTTCTCTATAACATCTTCAGATTAGACTAGTGCAAATTTTAAAGGCAGATGGCAAGGGTATAAAAAATAGATTGCATCACATCACTGGATAGCTTTACAGCTTACTCATACCACTCCTGAGGATTTGCAGTGAAAGTGTTTGCTAGGTGGCTGAAAGGGTATGAGAGGATTTTCTAAAAGGGTAGTTAATATTTATTATTCTTTTTCTTCCAAGTTGATATTTACCATCCCTGATCTGTTTGAAAAAAAACTGTAATTCTAAGTGTTTCATCTTGCCCTTCCCATTCCAGCCTCCTGGGAACAGCTGCTTCCAGGTTTCCTGTTCCTTGGAGGGCCCCAATGATGTGGAAAAAAATGTGGTATGAACTGCATTGAATTTTTCCCAATGCGTTTACATTGAGGTGGAACAGGTATCCTTTGTGAGGCAGGAATGTTTTTGTTTGCTGACTTTTGTGCACAGTGTTAGTCCCCCAGAGAAAAATCCCTCTTTCAACCCATGTAGCAAGCGAAGTGGCTGTGCAGGTCTCACAAGGCACCTCGTCCTTGTGGGCTTGGTGCTGCCCAGGGTGGAGAACATTCTCCTTTGATGCGAGTGGCTTTTGGGTGATGTATCTCTATGATGGGTGGTAAGCTCCTTACAGAGGAGGCAACATAAGGCAACAAAGAGTCCGAACCAGATCAGAAGCAGCAACATTAATAGAAACTCTCCCCCGTTATCGATCTTTGAGCCATCTGTTTTCCTGTAAGAAATTCTGATTGCTACGTTTGGTTAGTAGAAGGGACAGAGCAAATGAACTGAGTTTCCTTCCTTCTGATCCATCTAAACAATCCTAGCAAATTGATCCTAGTAAATGTCATACTGGAGTTGGAACTTGCTAAACAGCACAGTGATTATCATCCTATGGGGATGCCTTTAAATCTAGATTATCTGAAGACCCATTGGATTGGGGATAAAAAACAGATTATTATCTCTGCAGGACTTCCCACAGTCACCAGGACGGTCATACTTTGGAAGCAGGCATTAGACGTCTTATGGATGCCTTTAAGCATCTGTAGAAGGTGGACCTTGCAGAGTACCTAAGTGGATGAGCCAGACTGTAATGATATGGAGCGCTTCCTCTTCTATGGGAATCACTGGGAGGTGATAGCAAGATCCGAATCTTGGAGCAGTTGTTACTGGACTTGCAGATGCACCTGGATACCAGATAACTTCAAACTGGAAAGCTCAAGTACAATGGGTGTGTGGACATTCCTCGGCCAGAGGAGTGAAAGCTCTACCTCCAGGGGTGGTGAGAGAGGACAGTGGGCTGGCTTCGCATACACCTTGGCATTGCTGCCTCCTGCCACAGGAGACTAATTGGAAGCTGTGCCTGACAAAGTGTTTAAAGTACATGCAAGATTAAATGCTGCTGCACTTAATGACTTAATGGCACATCAATGCCTATGCATTTTCATGAAGCTTTTGTCTGTTGTCCATTTCTGGGTTTTTATGTTGAATAAATACTTTGTAAGGAGGCAGTCGTAATGTAAAACATCTGTTGTTAATTGCCCTGCGGCAAAAAATTAGTGATAGATTGGAAGGTGCAAGTCTTTACAAAACTGTGGCCTGATAGATAATGCAGTCCTGCTTAAATAATTCCCTTTACAGGAAACACAGTTGGGAGCTACATTCATGCAGTCACACAAGTGTAGAAGTTGTTCCTGTCTGATTGAGCCCACATGGGTAATAGCTGTTTGCTCAAGTTGAGGCGGAGACGCTGCCAGCCAATCCATAAGCTATTGATTTTTATATATTTGATTTTTATAAAACACAAGAGGGATGGAGGTGATTATGTGCTACCTTGACTTTGTTGTACTGCGGTGGGTGGAAATGGTCTGTCTTTGTATCTGTACCCTGCTGCTCCAAGTGCTGTAGCGCTGACTTCATGTATGTCAAAGTTGTGCTCGGTGCTTCAGCTGCAAGAGAAGCAAGTTTAAGTCCATCTGTGATGAGAAGCGTTTTTGAACTGGAAGGATTATTTTAATGAGATGGTGGCTTTGAGATAGAGTTGGTTTATAACCAAAATCACTAGTTCATCAATTTCTAGACTGATTTTGGTGACTATCCAAACTCATTTGCCTACATTCGTAAAAATGTTTTTCTTCTCTACTGCTGAATGCAAAACCCAAACAGACAGTTGCTCATTTGCCAACGTTTTGTGCAGCTACTTTCAGAGTGGGGAAGAAAAAGTCCCTGAAGTAGTCTTCAATGTCACTAGCTTTTTGTAAGTAGGCAATGTCACTTTTAGTAACCCTGAGTGTTTAGGAATAAACGCCAATAAGACCCATACAAAGTCTAATCGTGTAACTTTAAATTACAGCATCTGGTTAGTAGATTTGGTATTCTGTTGATTTTTTTTGTTTGTTTGTTTTTTCCTTGCTGTCTGGAATTTGTTGGGTTTTTTTCTGTCCAGAAATACAACAAAAGAGTGCTCTGTACTTTTTATGAACACAGACTATTCTTTATGATTGCACCGCAGCAAGCTATAAGTTAGAGAAGTTTAAACTTGTGTATTTTCGGAATGGCACAATGAATTGTCATCACAGAACTGTACAACAGAGGTCTGAAAAGGACTCTCAAGTGTCATTTCTCCCCATTTCCCTCAGCTTTTGAACTGGAGGATTACTGATGTTTTTGAGAAAGCAGTCCATAGACACATTTTACATATGGCCACAATGATTTTCATTGCAATCAAATAAAACCAGGCAAAATGTGAGGTGTTCCTTAGTTATGCATTCACATAAGAATATTTATTTGGGTTTTAATGGCCTGTTTTTGAAAAGAGGCATGAGCTGACCTGGCCCAGTGCTTCCCCTAAAGCAAGATGTTGGACTCAATGATCCTTAAAGGTCACTCCCAATTTGAGATACTGTGATTACCTCCATCTAACCCATCTCAGGATGATGTTTGTCCAGCCAGGTCTTCAGAAGCTGCCTTTGCAGGAGGGTCCACAGCCTCCCTAGGTAGTCTGCTGCCATGCCTGGCTGCAGTGTATGATGAACAAAGTCAGAGCTGCACATCCACTGACGCAGCAGAAGACACAGTCAAGCTTCCAGCAGTGAATTCCTGCTGGAATGGTTAGTGAAACTGAAAAATTTTCCTCACCTAAGTTTTGCTGGGGTAAGTTTTCCTCACTTAAGTTTTACTTCTCGTAAAACTCTCAGCTTCTCTTGTTTGTCTGTTCTGTGTATTTTTTCAAGGAGGTGAGGCAGCTGTGGAGGTTTAACCCCCAGTTAAATACAAATAGCTTTGCAACCAGCACATACATACTGTCTCACTTATCTAAATTATCCTTTCACAAAACGTTCATGTTTCTTTCTTGGTCTTCTTTGCTCTAAACAATGTCTTAGTTTGTCCTCTGGCATTGATTTATTTTTGGTCAGCAGAATGAAGCAGTAGATCTCTTCTGCCAGCCTGAAAGCAATAGGTGGTGTCATTCAGACCAACAGCAGCAAGAAATGTTTACTGAACTACTGTAACACCACATAATATTTTTATGAGAGAAACAGTGGCATCTAATTGAGCTAAGAGCACAAGCCTTTCTGATCCTGATAATTGATTTTTCTACCTATTTTTTAGTGACCAGCTATTGCAAAAGCTTCATTCAGATTTTTAATTGAACAGCTGCTTAACAGAGGTGTGATGTCATCAGCAGAGGCCTGCTTCTGTCCCCAGAGGTGCTTTTTGTGAAACACATTGTCTGGTAGCACAGCATATGCCTCAGGAGTTTGCAGTTTTATTTAATTCACCTAGTGCTGCCTCTGCCTGGCAGGAGGCAACTCAAAGCTGTTCCTTGCTTCAGGTTCCTTTTCTGACAAACAAAGGTAACACTCCCTTACTAAGAGTGGCTTTTGTCCTCTGGATTGCAGGCAGCGTCTTTGTTACAGCAGATGTTGCCAGCCAGATTTTCCTAGCTCTACTGCCTCTACCAGAGCTCAGATGCTTACTTGATAAATACTTGTCAGAGCTGAAAGATTCCCCTTTTTGGAAATTGTTCTGGTTTCCTTCATCAGTCCCATGGAACCCTTACTGCTAAGTTTTTTCAAGACTGCCACGTATCTGATAACTTAAAAGAGTAAGATAAGTGCTTTTCCCACTCTGTGCCCTTTCTCCTACCTGAGTGGCCACTTTGCCCTGCAGAGGGTGGTGGCCGAGTGGGCAATTCTAAGCCCATGATCTGTCCTGATCTTACCAGCTCAGAAGTGTTTCACTAGAGTTGACAGCAGCCTGAGCACTAAATGTGAACAGAATTGTTGGTAGGACTTGGCGCAAAAAGCTGGTGGAAGGATAACATTGCTCTGGTTTCACCATGTTACACGAGTGAGTAGTGGGAGAAGGCCACGCACGCTTCCAGCTTATGTCTGATGGTTTTGCTTTGCAAGACTGGCTTTGGGAGCTGAACTCTTGTGGGTGTAACATGCTTTTCTGTGTTTTGTGCTGATGAAGCAATGTGATTCAAGTCTGGAGCAGGCAGATGCTGCTTTTCAAAGAAGTTGTGCCAGTTGGGGCTTCTCTTGAACGTGTCTGCTGGTGAAGACTGTCTGAGTACTTCCCTTGAGTATCTTCTGCCGCAGGTTGATGACTGAGAGCTGCTCTTAGTTCTAGGCCCGGGGAGCTTTTGGGAACAGCCTGATGGCTTTTGTTCTGCAACTAAACCAGACAGTGGTACCAGCAGGACCTTGAGGAGTGGTGTGTCATGCGCACATTGCTACAGACAGGATGCCAACCTACTGTGGCTGGGCTCGAGCTGAACTAGTTACTAGTGTATTGAGTTTTTGTCTAGTTTATTGTGACCTCTGACCTCAATCTGATCTCTTCAGCACTAAGATACTTCTGCAGTGAATCAGGGTCAGTGAAGCTGGAAGCTTCACTGCTCAATCAATAGTGTAATCTCAGCCTACGTTAGATACACGGTCAGGGTGGAGCTTTATACCCTGCTGGTGTTAAGCAATTTTAGAGACACCATCTTGCTCTGGCATCATTCTCTGCCAGGGGCTGCGGTAACCTCTTTGCTGCTGGCTGAGGTGCACAGGTTGGGTTTTCCCAGTAGTTCCTGGGCGAGTGAAGAGGATGAAACCAGATGCAATGTTATCCTTCCACCAGCTTTTTGCGCCAAGTCCCACCAACAATTCTGTTCACATTTAGCGCTCAGGAAGGCCCCGGCCTGAGAGGGCCTGTGCATGCACCGCCTGTCAGCAGCCAGCAGAGGGGGCACTGAGCTTAAGACATTGTTTTTGTGTCGGTCCTATCGTAAGCGCTTTAAGTTGTAGGTGGTGAGAACCCTATTTGGCCCCAGATCAGACTAGGTGTCTAAATGACTTTCTGTTGTATCTGCCAGAAAAAACACAAGTCAAGTTAGATTCAACGTGGAGTTCAGGTTGTGCTACCTTGTCCTCGATTTGAGCATGCAAGAAGAACGGATGGCATGGTTGGCAGAGGCAATGAAAACAAAATATCACTGTTTGCTCCATAAGGAGGGAAGTGGTGAGAAAGCTGCCAAGGAAGAGTAGCAGAGGAGGAAGTGGACAGTGTGACATGTGCTGGGCACACAGTGTGCTCAGGGAGTGAAAGAGAACCCAGAGGGGGCTTGAGTCAAGTCTTGAAGACAGTGAGCTTCCACCTCCACCAGGCACTATTTCCATTGATTATACTTAATGGGTTTTTGGTTCACAGAGGAGATTGCTGCTGGGATCCTCTCCTTCCCCAGGCAGGAGGGCTGGCCAGGCGTCCTGCGTGGGTGCCAGGCTCACCGGGAGTGAGCAGAGCCCACCCCACGCTGCTGCTCTTGGGGGGCATCATGCAGGAGAGCAGAGTGGTACAGAGCAGCGCGCTGCCACTGCTAGGCCACTCCTCGGCTCTTGTGGAAAGTTACAAGGGGCGGCACAGCCCCAAAAAGCCAAGGCATTTGTTCTGGTTTTTGAAACACTTCATTAATGTCATTGACAATACCAGCAGGTTCCTGAGATTAGCGTGCTTCTATTTTTGAAGAGTTATTTCTCATGGCAGGCTGCCAAGCGGTACCAGCGGCCTTACTATCCTTTCTATCTGGTTTGGCAGGACACACCGTGGGCTCTCCCCGTCTCTTAGCCTCTGTAAAGCTGTTTAGCTGCAGCTCTTTGCAATGTTCCCACACGCCTTGGGGGAAACGTACCTTCTTCACATTTTCCAGCTAGCCCTATGGACAGAATGTCCAGAAGAGGAGGCTGAGGGGAGACCTCATTACCCTCTACAACTCCCTGAAAGGAGGTTGCAGAGAGGTGGGGGTCAGCCTCTTCTCCCAAGGGAATAATGACAGGACCAGAGGAAATGGTCTGAAGTTGCGGCAGGGGAAGATTAGATTAGATATTAGGAAGAATTACTTTACTGAGGGGGTGGTCAGGCACTGGAACACCCTGTCCAGAAAAGTGGTGGAGTCACCATCCCTGGAGGTATTTAAGAAACGTGTAGACATGGCTCTTCAGGGTGTGCTCTAGTGCCTGAGACTGTTGGTTTGTGTCTGTGGGTGGGTGTGGGGTTTGGGGTTTTTTTGGGTTTTTTTGGTTTGTTTGTTTGTTTGTTTGTTTTTGTGGTTGGACTCAATGATCTCAAAGGTCCCTTCCAATCATGAATATTCTGTGATTCTGTGGAATCTGCTTTTCCTCTAAGCGCTGGTTTGCAGGCAAGGCATGGGCAGCACCAAAGCTGAGCAGGGCTTGGGGTGCGAGGAGCATGTAGGGAAATAGATGGAGTTTGCAGAGCACAGTGTGTACCGCCTCAGGTGCTCTCTGGCTGTGCCAGGGTCTAGGTGAAGGGTTCCAGGTGCAGCTTCTTAGGGGAATGGAACATCATGCTGGTGAAGCAGGTGAGGGATGTGGCTGCCTCAGTGCGTGTTCATGGGCAGGGCCACAGCTGCAGCACTGCATCCTGCTGTGGCATTGCTGGAGTCACAGAGAAAGCAGCTAGCGTTCCCTCAGGGAAGGTGAGGTTCTTCTGATCATCAGCTCAGCCCTCTTGGAAACACAAGGCTTGGGGACTGCTTCTCCCCAGTCCCAGCTGGAAGGTGTAGGAGTGCAGCAGGACCCCAAGACCAAGCCCATTTCATACCGGTATTCTTTCCTAAGTGTGTCTTTAATGCCTGATGTTGTGATACCAGAGCTGTGCTTGAGTCAAGGCACTCAAATGCATTGCAAACTGCTTTTGCCCCTGTTTCAGGCTCAGATTCTCGTTGGCAACTACTCATTAAAAGCATTTTACTTTCAATTAGCCTACGAAATGGAGGGGGGGCTCCAAGGGTGAAGATTGCCTTAAAGCTTGGAAGGCATCTTTTGTTTGTGCTGGGATCTGGTAAGATCACAGAAAAATAGCTTCACTGTAAGAAATCCCAGTTTGCCTGCAAATGAGCTTGAGAAACAGCAACCCTAAAGACAGTCCCAGCCTTACCCTGCTCCAGATTTCTCTG